TCGAATCATATTACTGAAGATTTTGTAGGCATCTTCTCCCGCTCCCAGACAACCACGGCTCACTTTTGTGGGTGCTGCATGCGAGTGAAATAGGGTGGGGATGGGTGACAGTGGTTAAAAATATTACATAATTAGTAATGAGTCAGGCTTAGATTTGAACCAGTACATTTTGCATCCAATGAAAGCAAGGATGTTAACAAATAAATTGGACAATATTTGAGCAAGTTAGTACAGTAATATTTCCAATTTCCAGTACTACAACACTGGTGGATGGCTTATTGAAAGGCCTCAGTTTGGAAAAAAATGACTTCTGTTAAAGGGCCAAAATTATGTGTTTCTCAGGCATAGATTTAAATATTATACCATAATAAAGTATCTATGCCACCTTTAGTTGTTATTAAAATGCTGTTTTTATGTTTAAATAGAAAATAAACTTATCTACTCATCACTTCCTCTTCCAAACGCCTTGAAATTGGCCTCTGTCTCTTTCAGAATCTCCTTCCACTTCTGCCCCATCAATTTTGGTCAAGCATGCACTATGATGCAGTTTACTTGGCATCTGAAAATACATTTCCTCAAAAGTACTTTGAATCTGAAATGAGCTTCACTGAGTGAGAAGTAGTGGAGCTCAGCAGACTGCTTAAGTTTCACTTTCATTTTTGCTTTGTTACTGCCGAGAGCCTGCAGGAGTCATGGGTGGGGTGTGTGGTAGAGGTGGGTGGATCGATACTAATATCGATAATATCGATACCAGCGCTGGTATTGATATTGAACAATACTCGTGTAAAAAGATCAATACCCAAGCTTTGTTTTTTTCCCGCACACACTGACTGCTGCACACGCAGATTTTTCAAAGTCTACTCTGTCTGTAGTGCTGCACTGTGTCACACACAGCACGGAGCAGCACACCCTCCCCCACTCTCGTCTTTTGTTGTTGTACCGTCACGTGGCTCAGCAGTGCTAGTCAAACAGCTAAGCTAAGCAGCTAGGTTGGCCCACCCACTCAGCGTTCTCACCGAGCCCTCTACCTCAGGAGATTTTGTTTTGTGTTGAGTGATGTTTTTTAATCTGTTTATTTACATAAAACAGAATTGTATTGAAAGGAAGAAAATTCCTCATTTTTTTTTTGTTTTTCCTAAGAACAATTTTATTTAATAAAAGAAACAAAGAAAGAACTAGGAAAGATGTCTAGCNATTTTATACACAATAAAAATAAAAAATACAAACACAACAAATGAAGGGAAGTAGAGAGAAGAACAAAATCTTATAATAAATTCTTCATGATTTATGTAGTCGAATCATATTACTGAAGATTTTGTAGGCATCTTCTCCCGCTCCCAGACAACCACGGCTCACTTTTGTGGGTGCTGCATGCGAGTGAAATGGGGTAGGGATGGGTGACAGTGTTTAAAAGATTTATTTTCCTAATGTTAAAGGAAACTGTTTTGTTACTGCTCTATTGTTGGCAAGCAAAAATGTTGAGTGTTACAATAAAGTATTTTGTTGTCATGTACGTTTGGCAAAATTCTATCCTAGATCTTTTGGATYTTTTCAGATTATGAAGCTTAAACAGTATCAGTATCATATCGATATCAGCGATACTGGCCCTGTATTTACTTGGTATCGGATCGATACCAAAATTCCCAGTATCGCGCACCTCTAGTGTGTGGGGTGGGGAGGTGTGCTCCATGATGAGGAAGTTCAGCTTAAAGACACGTCCCAGGGGCGTTTCTGGTTCCAAAAGGCATTCCTGGTACCCACCTGTCGTTTTGCTCCTCAGCATGGCTTCCTAAAAACTGCAGGATTTCTCAACCATGCATGAAAGAGTCAAAGCAAGGCTTTGAACTTGTTTTTTATGAGAGCATAACATTATAACATGATATAAAACTCAAAAAAGTTGATTTTACATGATACTGCCCCTTTAAGACGAGCTAAAGCTAGTTTAAACAAGGCCAAGACCAGTGTTTCTGTCATCTTTACATAAAATATATTTTATAAACTTTTACATCAATTTAATTTCCTTTGTTTTTACAGGTTGGTCTTGTTGAAACAACCGTCTCATTTGCATGACAGATTTGTTTGCATTGCAGTTGATTTTACTTCTTGTGGTGGAAAAATTATGATAAGCCATCTGAAAGTGCTACAGTTGTTTGTGCTTACTGATACAGAATTCTAAGTAATGACCGTGTAAAGTGAATCTGACAGCAATTTAAGGGTTTATAAAATCACACAAATAGCTACAAAGTCTCTAAGTTTAGAGAATGCATTACAAAAAAAATGTTTATTTTAATAAACCATTAGACCACCCACATATTTTGCTTACACAAGAACTCCAGCAGAGAATSAAACCAAGAGCTTTGTAGCTGTAAGGCAACTGATCTTAAACACTGCACAATGCCAAATGAGCATTTATTACTACTTTTTTTTTTTTAAAAGGAAGTACTTGGAGACATTTTTGGTCAAAAAAGAAGGTAGAAACATTGGCTGATGATTTTGAAAAGTAAAAATGTTCATAAAGTCAGTTTCACCCCTGAAAACAAATCCAGTCACAGCTTGGCTTTTACAATCTTTCTTTTTTTTTCCACTTCAGTCTTTGTCAAGTTTGTGTTCAGGTGTTGTCAAACTAAAGGACGAGATTATCGTCCTCTAATTAGCACACATCTAAAAGTGAAATGAGACTCCCAGGTGGCTGAAAGTTGATGTGTGTTTATGTGAGTGGACACTTTTTGAACTCTCCTGCTCTCAAGCTCATATATAAGCAGATGGCACATGGCTTGCAGATGCATTTCTGTCAAGTTCTCCTTCTCTGGAGACACAAAGGGAGAAGGAGGCTTGTTTTTCTAAGTCTTCTGTCATTGCCACACAGGATGACCCAAACTTAAAGGTGAAAGGACTCAGGGTTATTTTTATTTCTTGATACATTCAAGTCAGTTTACCACATTCTACTCAGTCCAGGAAGTTGATGTCTCTCCTACAGTTCTTTGTCACTTCRCAGATATTTTTCTCTCCATTGTTCTACTTTTTATCTTTTTTTGTCACAAGCACTCAACTAAATTCATGATTTCTAATCTGATGCCTTTTGTGTTTTTGCAGCAACACAACTGAAGCCGGAGGGACATATATCAAGAAGTGCTGCAAAGGTTTTTGCATTGATATTCTGAAGAAAATCGCCAAGTATGTCAAGTTCACCTACGACCTGTACCTGGTTACTAACGGCAAACACGGCAAGAAGATCAACAATGTCTGGAATGGGATGGTGGGAGAGGTAAAGCTAGCAGAAGATAAATTATGGACGATTGCATCACAACATATGTTTGTTTCCTAAATTAAAGAAATATTTTGCAAAACTTCTAGAGAACAGGGTAGATTGTTTTTTTAACCAACTTCAACCTTAGAAATTTCAWGAAACTTTGCAAACCTTTACATCAGTTTCCCAGCAGTTGTTCTTGAAAAATCTGTTATGTTTGCCCTAAGTAGTCTCTACAAAAAAACGCTACAGCTAGCTGCACCTGCTGCTATTAGTGCTTGCTGATAACCCGAGTATTTTAGGTAGAAAATTGCATAATTCATCATAATATTTTCACAGAATCCGACAAAAAATAATTTTGCTCAGGGAAGCTAGAATGAGAAACTGAACAGAGAACTACGTTTTTACCCATTAAATTTGTTTGACTGTACATGTAAAACTAGTAAACGTTTTCTTTCTGTTTTTCTATTTTTCTTCCTTGTTCCCTAATCACCTCTCTTCATTCCTCTTCGACTCCTGCAATCRTCCGTCCCCGGCGCCTCTGAAACAGGTGGTTTATAAGAAAGCCGTCATGGCGGTGGGATCCCTGACCATCAACGAGGAGCGTTCGGAGGTCATCGATTTCTCTGTCCCATTTGTTGAGACTGGGATCAGTGTCATGGTCTCACGCAGCAATGGGACCGTCTCTCCATCAGCTTTCCTCGGTAACTGCAATCAGATACACAGCCGTTTTGTTGTCGGACTCAGGAAAACAATCAGATGGCGCTGTGTCTTGTTTGCTTGCACACTTTGTATCGGTGTGGAAAGACGTGCTCGTGTGTGTGWGTTTGTTTTTCCTGGAAAATGGACCTGACAACCTTGTGTAGCTCTGACCATATTTGCTTTTTCATCTTGTTCCTGTGTCTGTGTGCGTTCCTTTGTCTGTCTGTAGGCTAAATATCTCATGAACTAGTTGATAGATTTCATTGAAACTCTGCAGAAAGTTATCATTGGATTCACGTCCAGAAGTGATCAACTTCATTTAAGATGGTCTGCAACAACTAACTAACCTTAGCAATTCTAATAAAGGCTATAACACTGGCAATTTATAGAAATCAGGCTAAGAGAGTGTGGTTGTAGCTGGGAGTCATCTCCAACATGTACTTTGGCAGTTACAGATCTCTTAAGATCTTTGGTTTAAACGTTGGCACAGAGCGTAGTTAGCAACATCAATTCCATCAAGAAATTGTCCTTTCATTAGATTCTTTTTTTTCTTTATGCCACAATAACTCCTAAAACCCTGGCAGAGCCAGGGGGAAACAATAATAAACCAAATAATAAAACAAAACAAAAAAATTCATCCCCTCAAACAGTAACTAATATAAATTAAACAATTTCTTATTTCTTTAACAAATTTACTTTGACCGTTTTCTTGAAGGAATTAACYGATCCAATGCTTTTATAGTCATTTTCCAGATTATTCCATAGTCTTRTTCCTTTTACTGAAGTGCATCTGTCCTTCAAATTTATTCTGATTTTCAGTTTAACAAACATTTGTAATCTCTTCAAATTATAGCAGCTTTCCCTCTTAACAAAATGTGATTGGATGTTTGATGGCAACACATCTCTATGAGCCTTATACATAACCTGCAGAATTTTGAATTGAATTAGAATTGAAATTGAACTGGTATGGCCACCATAGAAAAATCTTTGGCCAACCTACCCCAGCAACATTTGATGAAGCCATTTCTATATGCAAAATGTTCATTTCAACTGCTCTGCTCAAATAGGTAATTCTTAGGATGTAATTCTACATGGTAGAGAATGACCAAGAAACACAATTCAATTCTCAGCAAATTGACATGTATAAAAAACGTTCTACACTACCCTGTGTGACCAGTGGTCTCAGTCTGGCCACCCTGATAAAAATCATCTGGCTCTGCCATTAAACCTGAGGAACTTGTATACAAGACTTCAACCTAAGAGTAATTGTAAGGTCTAAAAAAATCATGTTTGAAAAGTCAATAATTTACATCCTAYGTTCCTGAGCAGTTTTTGACAACACAAACATAAACCAAATTTTCCGTGCATGTCATCACAAGCATAAAGGCACACTAAAGCATGCACACTGGTATGCGGCATACAGTTAGTGCAGTGAAAGTGGCAATTCTTAGGGCTTAGCAAGAGAACCCTGTAATGGCAGCTTGCCAGCAGACGTCCCTTGCACTCACTCGCTCAGTGTGTGGCGCCCTGTGCCAGCAGTGCTCCCTCGTAGATTAAAGCAGAGTTTAATCTCTGCAGCATTGTTGGGAGCTATGAGGGAGGACAGGAGTGCTGACACCAGGGCTTCCTACACTGTACCATGCCTTACATGCAGTTAAATGCAAGTAGCTGCTGGGAGGGAGGGCTTCTGTTGATGCTCTGCGTGTACAGAGAAAAATAAAACCAGCAAGCCACTGCTTTCATTCCTTTGTTTGTACGTGTACACTCTCCGTTATAAGTTTTAGAACACCCTCATTTTTCTAAATTTTTAATTTGATATTCAAGCAGCTGAAGTCCAATGAACAACTTGATAGGGTACAAAGGTAAGTGCTGAACTGCCAGAGGTTTAAAAATACGTAACCAAAACAGAAAGTTAAGGTGTCTGTGAGTCCAGTTTTCTTCACCATCACATGCACAAAGAAAGTGGTGGAAACTCTGACGGTGAGGGGTGTCCTCAAATTTTTCACCAGTAGTGTACATAAACTAATGGCATTAATCCTCCAAAAAATCAAAATAGAGAGAAAAACATGTAACATATGGTAATTCTTGCACACTAATTCCCATGCTTCTGTTTTTATATATTTTTTTCTCATAGAACCGTTCAGCGCATCAGTGTGGGTGATGATGTTTGTGATGCTCCTTCTGGTGACTGCAATGGCCGTTTTCATGTTTGAGTACATCAGTCCTCTCGGCTTTAACAGAAACCTGGCACAGGGAAAAGGTGAGCCTGGGCCTAAAACAACAAACATGCTGTAAACATGTGTAATCTGTGTCTGCAGGCCCAGAGCAGAAAMAGTTGGGAATCCATTCTTGCATTTSAASCTTATTCCAAAGTAAYTGTTTGAACAGGAGCAATTTGTGGCGATTACCTCCAGGGTAAAAAAAAAAGTGATATTGACAGTGCATTTTTTTTATCCTCTTTTATAGTTGCACTTTGAGATCTGCTTTTAGA